CGGGGAGCGCCCGCCGCGACTCGGCCCGGCCGCCTCTGTCCGGGAGGTCGTCCGAGGAGGTGGGAGGGGCAGGAGGGGCCGCGGGCGGAGCGGACCCTCGAGGTCTGGGCGGCGGGGCCGGAGGGGACCGTGGGAAGGCTGGTCGGGGGCCGGGAGCGGCGGCGCTGCGGGACCAGGGCCGGGGCCGGAGGGGACCGTGGCCGGGGCGGCGCGGAGGCAGGAGGCGCTGGGCAGCGCGGGAGCGCAGGAGGGCGGCTGGCGGCTGGCACGCCAGTGGGTGGTCCTGCATCTCCCCAGGCTCCCCGCGCTGCGCTGCTCTTGCGAGCCAGAAATCCGGGGGAAATAAATAAATAACGGCGTGCCCGCCCTGCACTGGTCCCTGAGGCGGCTCCCCGCCGGCGCCTGGCCTTGACCTTTCTCCACCCCCGCCCCACCGCAGGCTCGCCTCGCTCCACCCCAGCCACCCACGAGCCCCGCGGGCGCACAATGTCACCCGGGAGAGCCTCCAGGTGGATGCGCCCAGCGACAGCCCGAGAGCCCTGGACGAACAAAGGGAAGGCGCTCTGGTGGCCGAGGCTGCGGTGCCCAGGGATGGAGAGGACAGGGGACCGGTGCAGCGCTTCTGCCTCGAGTCCCCGCTGGAGGCGAGCGTGGGAAAAAGGGAGGACGGCAGGAGAGCAAGCGAGCGAGGCTGGGAAGGAGGGTGAGAGGAGCGCAAGGCGCCGAATTGGTTGTCTTCTGGGGGCGCTGGGGTGGCAAGACCTGCAAAGCCCCGCGGCGGAATTTTTAAGTGCTTTCCCCTCTTTCTCGTTTTATTGGCAAAAAACCAGGGGTGAACATTGCCAGGGGTTCGTAAGTAATCTCTCCAACTTGTCGAAAAGTCAGGCGGGCCCCTGGGTCTAGGTTTTCCCACAACTCCTTTCCCTGTCCTTTGCGGATGACATGCAGGATTTGGAACCCTCTCCTGAATGCCAGCGTCCAGCGTGTGGCTGTGCGAGTGCGCGTCCTCTCCAGCCCTCTGCGCATCTCTGCGCATTTCTGCGCATCGCGAAAATGCTTGAACCGGCTCAAGGTGAGGGGGTAAGTGATTTGTCTAGAGGCCAAAAAATTGTCACTAAAATTGCCATCCGTTTTGTTTTTTCGTGTACCCAGCCCCCCAGGCGGTAGGAGATCTTTCCTAAAATTAAGCACCAAGTGTGCAATATATGTATTTTATATAGCCACTAGATGGCGTGAATGGAGAGAAGTTGAGGCTTCCCCCAAGCTTTTGATGTTTTACAAAGGTGAGGGATCAAAATGAACTGACCCAACAGAGAATTGGATCATATAAATGTCTCCAGTTCCCCTGCTGACCCTCCTCCTTTTTTAATATTTGCGAGAAAAACACAACTTAGGCTTGAGTCTGTATTTGGATGGCCCCGTGGAGTGTTCCTGAAGCTTCCCCTTGGAAAATTGAATCTACCTTATTGAATAAAAGTAGAAAACAGTAGTACTGGTAATAATGAGGCTTCACCATGTTGAATGAGATTAGCCTAATTTGGTCTGAAAACCCCCTTTCCTAGTTTTGAGTGGGCTCTCCTTGGTTTGTAAAGCGAGCCGACCAGTAGAGACGTTGACTTTCAAGCCCTAGAGAGCATAAGTCATGACCATGAGCATTAGAAGGCTGACGTGGAGGCTGAACGAGAGAAATAGATTTCAAGAGAAAACTACCCAGAAAGGAGAAAAACCAACCTTGGAAAGTACACGGTTTTCTGTAGAAATCAAAAAGTAATCTTTATGAATGTTCCTTTTACTGCACACAGAATTGCAGGGTGCTACCCTAGTGGCTACTGAAGCCAGAAGGAATGCAGCCTGCAAGTTTGAGAAGGAGAGTGTGAAGACACTGTTTATCTGTGTGTGTTAAGTGGAAATGAAGAGGGTCTGTTAACCTATCCAGCCACACCCCTTTAAAAAAAAGAGCATGATAAAAACACGTAGAAACTGAAAAAGAAACTGGTCTTCCTACCAATTCATATAAGAATCAACCCTTTTCTAATACCAAAGATAAGTCACTGCTCTGGTTCGTTGTATAGTGTGTTAGGCAGGACATCAATGGGGAACCATGAATATTTAATAAAGGCCAGTGCTGGTAAGTCACCCTGGAGAGATACAAGGTACCTAAATATAGTTCTTAAAACTTCCCTCTAGAAGACAAAATACTTACAACTATGCAAGCAGCAGCCTAAATCCACAAAAAGTCTTAAATAAGCAAGATATGACATTTGCTGATTATGGGAAAGAATTATAAGATTCCCTCTTGTACAGAGCGTGAGCTTTTTGGTATAGTGAGAAGAATGTGGCCTTAAGAGTTAAACCCGCCAAGATTCAAAGTCCAGCCCAAGAAATTCTTTATTAGCTTTGTGTCCTTATAGAGTTTCTGATTTTCTCTGATCAGAAATTGCAGCAAGTTTAACTCAAGCTTTTCAGGCCTATTGTGAGGATTAAACAGAGGAATACTTCAGAATGCCAACTTTGTACCTGGCACATGTTGTGCTATATTAATACTTTTTTACTCAAATGCAAAATGAAAATGTAATTTATTTTATCCAGCCTGGATTTAAAACTCCTTTAAATACTTCTGTAAATTTACTTTTGCCTCTGAGTCCGAACTTTCCCTTATCTGCTATGCACTTGACTGTGATTATTTTAATATTTACTCATGCATTTTATTAAATATTATAGGAAAGCTAAATTTGTGCACAGTCCCACAGAATATGATAGATATGCGCCTTGCTTGATGTTTATCCCTTTGCACTCTAATTTTAAATGTTTAGTTTGTTACATGAAAAATAAAGCCAGAACGTTTAAGATCTAATTTGTTACTTCTCTTCTCCAATTCCTGTGACATCTCTTCCCCTTTCTCCTGATGAATGAATCCCCAAGAAGAAATGTAATGCTTATCAAAGATTGTGTCCTGTTCATCACTGTTTCCTCACAAAAAAAACCAGGTACTCATTCAATGAGCCACTAACGCCTATATATTCATTATTATTAACCAATCATCACACCACAATTAGAGTTCTGTATCTCTGTCTCTCATTGGTGTTGATTCAAACAAAGCTACCAGTTGTTGTTGTTAAGTGTCGTCGAGTCATGGAGGACTCATAGCGATCCTATGAACGAAAGAACTGAACACTTGTATAACTTTCATCATTTCTCCAAGTACATAGTTTCCAAAGGCAAGCTGTTTTGGAAGTGGATGCCACTCCTGCTTCCAAACTTGTTTTAACTGGGGAGCGCCACCAAACACAGTCCACCATAAGTACCTATTATTGAAGTTGACACATCAGTGTCACAGTGTTTAGCATCACAGCAACTGCAAGTTAGCTCTATACAGGAAATGGACCGACAAGTACTATACTGCTTAGAAGAATGTTTGACCTAAAACAATGAAAACCAGGCCTGAAGACCACAGATTAAAATCACCCACCTTTGGCTTGGTAGTATAACTTTCTATCCACTTGGCCAACAGAGCTCTCTCGTTGTTGTTGTTGTTGTTGTTATTGTTGTTAAGTGCTATCGAGTAGTAGACAGCTCATAGAAACCCTATGAATGAAAGACTTGAACACTTGTAAAAACTTTCATTGTTTCTCCAAGTTCACAGAGCTACCAGAGAATCCATATTTCTATTTCTATTCATATTCATATATATATATACTGAGAGAGAGAGAGAACGCCTAAGGATGACAGAAGAAGAATAAATGCCTTTG